CACTGATGAAACACTGTTTTCCTGTAGATGAGGTAACATTTAATGGCTTATGGACGCATGACAACCCAGACTCATCACAATTAAAAAATTTGATGTGGCTCAAAGTGATATTTATCTACCCAGTTCTCTAAATTGCTAAAATAGATTTTAATATTATATTTGTTCAAACCAAATACTCTATTTGTAGAAATTGCTTCTGGTTTTCTTAGTGATAAATCAGGATGGCGTTATAAAAGCCTCCCGCAAAGTCTTCTCTTGCTAATTTATTATCTTTGTTAAAAGGATTTGGAATTGATTTTTTTTTGCAGAACTCAAATATTATCAATCTAATATCCATCATTGAGAGACCATAAACTGAATTGTCCATATCTTTAATATACTTTTAAAAATCTTGTTCTTGATTACCAGAAAGCACTTTTTTAAATCTTCCAAGTAAATTAGAATGTAAACTACTTTTAAGTGAAGCCATTTTAACACACCAATGTAGTGAGTTTTTTGGCACACTAAAGTTTTTACAAGCTTTTCTAAAAGATATCTGCTTCAACTTTACTGCTGTAATAGCATTTTTCATGTCATCTTCATTCCATTTAGCTTGATTAGTTTTTCTCTTGCAGTTTCTCATTTAAATGTTTTTGGTCACTAAATTACGACAATGTTATATTCATTTAAAGTTTATTATAAAATTATGTTTTACTTTACATAAAATTCTTTCAAAAAATGATAATAACAAGTTAAACCTGCCAAGTTAAAACTTGCTATCGTAAACGTTTACTTTGACGATTTATTAAGTTTATAAACTTGCTTTCCTTAACGTTTACTTTGACGATCTTTTTCAGTAACTAGCGTTGCCGCACTTTCCCCGTAAATGTGAAGTTATTTATTTCTTAAATATCTTTAAAACAAAATATTCTGACATAAAAAGAAGAATGACAGCTGAAAGATAACAAATAAATGATTACAACTTAATATTATGTTTGTTCTGTGGTAAAAAGTAGCAGCGTACGTGGATTTTTTCCACAAAAAAAAAATTAGTTTTGATTTTTAAATCAAATTGACGCAACTCTTAAGCTTTAAACCCACTTTTCTATGTCATATTATAGGAAAAAACTGATGGAAACTACTTTAAAATATTAAAAAAACATGAAATTTTTAATCAGATAAACCAAAATTACTGTAGCATTTCAAAAAAAATCTGTACAATGCTAGAAAGCCTTAATGTCTCACTTTGCCCCGGTGTCTCACTTTGCCCCAGGTTACCCTAACTGATTAAGATTGCCTTCAATTTCATCATTCCGTCGAATTTTAATGTAGAGATTACACGAATTAAGCACTCGTAATGCTTATCGCATTGCTTTTCATGCATTTCACTTATCATTTGGTGTATGGTTTTGAAACCTGCTGCACATAGAGTAAATAGTTTTTCCATGCCTCCTAATGAAATGATGATAGGTCGTGTTTTCTCAGTCTTTCTACAGCCTTTTTCCAATTGTCATAACCAATTGTCAAAAAATTTTGTTCACCGCATTTTGAAAAAGATACCAGATTTTTCTTGAAAACACCAATGCAATATAGCAAATAACTTTCTTTTTGGAATGACATAGATGAATCCAAGGGTAATCTATAATCCATTTTTCATTGAAATATCTAAGTTGTTTGCCTACATTTTTTTGGTTGCTTCAATATTGGCAGAATTTATTTCTGCTTTTTTGGCATTCCACTCACAGCAGGAACAAGCAGGAAAAGATTTTTCAATGTCGCTTTCTTCTTGAATAATTTCTTCCATTGGTAAAGTTGGACTTGAAGAATGCTTGTCATGTTCAAAGTAAGAAATCAGTGTTCGTTGTTTTTTATAAGACGGTTCTCTTCGTCGTTTTTTTATAATATTCACAGATTTATATAATATTCACAACCGTTAATCGCTCCCTTGTGAATTGCAAAACATTGTTTAAAGCAAACACATAAAGTTATTATTTCAAACACAAAACGCTAATTGCTCCCTAGATTAGATAGATTAGATAGATTAGATAGATTGTCTTTTGCATCGACAATAATTTTTTTCATCTGGTTTTGCACGGACAGAATAATTTAAGGCAGGTAAAATGTTATTAAAATTTTTACTTGTTAAGATGTAGAAATGTTAGTACTACAAAAAAACATTACTAAGTCTTTTTTTTTTTAAAGTGAATTAACTGGTTTTGCAAGTCCACTTTTCATTTCAAATATAAAATACTAATTGACCTCTTGCAGCTTGAAGTTGTGATTTAAAACAAGATAAAAACTTTTAAAATAATAGTTTTACATATTTGAAAAGTGGAGGGGGGGAATGGACTATAATACCAAAAACCCCACACTTTTAAAAGTGAGGGGGCTGAAACCTCCAAAGCCCCCACTGTTCCGCCACCCGTTGCCTATTCGCACTTATGCCAGTTCGCACTTATGAAATTTGCGTTTATTCCCCCTCCCTCAAAGACAATTTTAAACGATGTTCGGTTTCGTTCTTCCACCATTCTATTATACTTTCTCGGTCATTCTAGAGTTAATTAACTAACCTTTTAGTCAAACTAAAATTCTCAGTCCAACTAAAATTAATCGACTAACTTTTTAGTCAAAATAAAGTCGACTAATTTTAGTTAAACTAAAACTAACCCTAAATTTACCTTAAACTTTCCTAAAAGGTTTTAAAGATTGAGGGTTGTGAACCCATATACCAAAATTCCTTTTAGCGTTATAGGTGATCAAATAAAAATGAACTAAATATAATCTTTTTTGTAATCATATAACATTTTGTCAATATTAATACAAAGTTTTTAATAGTGGAAGTTTGAGGTTTTTACTGGAAAGAAAATATTTGAAGTAGTGAAAAAAAAACTTCGTAGTAAAAATATCCTACTACATTGGAATGGAACAAGTAGAGAAATTACATAGTCAGAGCAGTGGCATGAGAATTTATACGAAGATCGTTTTTAAAAAGTATGGCAGTTTAGAATACTAAATAAATATTTTTTTTGATTTTCTCAACAAAATTTGCAACAACAAAAAAAAAAGAGCACTTGATGGAAAAAAAAGGGGGAGGTTATTTGCATTCTAATCAAAAATCAAAAAATACTAACTATACAACCAAGAAATTAAAATAAATAACACTGTCAAACTTGTATGAATATCCTTAACCAAAAAAGTTTCGCGAAAAAATTAGTCTTTCCGTAAAAGAGATTATACCATTTTAGTAACCTGCTTATCTTACGCAACCCTTCCCTACTGCACTTTATAACAACTTTTTGCAAAATCTAATGATTAAAATTAAAAACTCAATATCATGGTCGATAAATAAAGCATTTACCATAAAAAGACTTGTTCAAAATATCAAAATTTGTTTAAAAACTGAAAATTTAAATAAGTTTATTATAATTTTTTTTTTTCTTAAAATAAGTTTTTGCTTATGAAATGAAAGGGATTCCAATAAATGAATATGATTTTTAATTTATTTGATTATTTTAGAAAAAGATCACTCTGACAAAATCAAGTTTGGCAAATTAAAAAAAATATTCAATAATAGTATGTAACTATACTTTAAATGCACTACCACATCAATAACATTGGTCAAGAAAATGTGCCAAATGGAACAATTTAGTGTTTTAGTTCTGTGTACTATTTGAAAATAAAAGTTTCTACTTATAATAACATAATAAAAGTTCTAAGAATAATAATTACATCGAATTTATCTTTAACTTACTTGGTAATTTAAAAACAAGCGTCATTTATTCCAGTGAAGCGAGGCCGAAATTCCGCCTCAAGTTTGCCTGTCGGTAGAACTTTATTCTGAAATTCTGCCGGTTCGCCTGTCAATACTTTCCTTATCACCGGAAAGCATCTCTAAATCCGATCATAACTGAAACCAACTTTAAAACTCTCAGTCGATACATGTACTTTTAATTTTGTCTCTATTGTCAGTGAATGGAAATCAGCTTAATAATGCTAAACACTTTTATTTAAAATTATTTATCGTCAAATTCATATAAGCACATGAGATCCTTGAAATATAAACATATGTGATCCCTTAAATATAAACATATTTGATCCCTAAAAAATAAGTATATGTGGCCCTAAAAAATAAGATTTTAAGTTTATATTTTCATTTGGTAATTAAAAATAATAATTTTGCGCTTGACCTATTATCTAATAAAAAGAGTTTAAAACATGATAAAGAATAGTGTCTAATAGAAAAGTAAAAAACCGGTAAGATATGAGAGTTTATATCAATTAAGTATAAAAAAATAAATATAAAAAAGAAATTTATTTTTAAACTGATATTTTATTAATAGTTCAATAATTACCTTTACAGTTTTTTTACTCATGCATAAAAATTGTTGTGTCTTCTACAACGATAAAAGTACTTCGAGGTACTTGTAAGTTCCTACGCATGATTTTATCACCAAAAACTCCATTTGAAGCATGAATAACGCACGAAGTTTTTGTTGCACAACTTTTGTTAACAATATCTGATATATTGATATTTTCTGGTTGTTACAATTTTTATTTGTGTCTTGTGGACCGGGGCAACCACCAGATAATGTTCTACCGTAATTTGCAATAACTACTTCAATTGCTCCGTGGCCGTTGCAATCAATTTTTAGATCGCTGTTTTCACACGCCCGAGCAATATGAACTTGTGGTTTACCTTCCCATTAAGCACATGAACGTTTTTAAAACGTTTTTTTAAATAAGAAAAAAAAACGTTTTTTAAACGTTCTGAATGGCAATACCTAAAAAACGTTTTTAAAAAAGCGTTTAAGAAACGTTCTAAAAAAGTCGTTTAAAAAACGTTCTAAAAAAACCGTTTAAAAAACGTTCTCAAATAACCTAAATTAAACCATAAAAAAACGTCTTTTAAACTTTTAAAAGACATTATTTTTTAGAAAATGTTCCCAAATCCATAGGTACTATTATTAAATTGTTTTTAAAAGAACCTGTTGGTTTAAAAAACAAGAAAAATAAAAAGTTTATTTAAAAGTTATTTTTAAATTTATTTTTTAAAACAATTTACAAACAAAGTAATATTATAACGATGATATCTGTTGGATTCAAGGCACTTTAAGACAAGCAAAAGTTGCCCGCTTTCACGAATCAGCAATTATTGCATCGACAATCGACTCTGTGTATTATTCGTGAGAAGTCGATGCACAAACTAAAAGAAAAAACTATATATTTAAAACAGACAATCTGAACAGTAATAATAGTATTATAATAATATATAGTATAATAATAATAGTAATAAGTTTTTAAATTACAAATATATGTTTTAAAAATATGTATATAACTTCACATTGCATATTATATATATATATATATATATATATATATATATATATATATATATATATATATATATATATATATATATATATATATATATATATATGTATATACATTTTTGGCACAATATAAATAAAACAGCATCACATTGAAATAAAAATGACTCTGCATTGTCATTAATAAGCGCCACTAATAAAACATAAGAAATTCTGACTAAAGAACTAGTATTTTGAATGCCCTCCATGCGCATCAAGCACGGCCTGTACAACTCTTGGCATAGACTGTACCAGCTTTTGGATTGTGTCAACAGGGATTGCTAGCCATGCAGCTTGCAAATGTTGCCACAAACCATCCAGATTGCTGGGTTTGGTTTTCTGTACTTTTCTGAAGAGCTCCTCCTACAAATTTTTAATGGGGTTCAGGTCAGGACTTTGTGGAGGCCATTCAAAAGCTTTGGTACGAGCATGTTTGAGATATTCCATTACTTTCTTAGCTTTGTGTCAAGAAGCATTGTCCTGTTGATAGAAAAATGGTTTGTTTTTACCAAATAGTTTGTTTGCTGATGGTTTCATTTGTGTTTTTAATATTTCCAAATATTTATCCTGGTTTACTGTGCCTGTACAACAATATAAATGACCTTCACCTGATCCTGACATGCAACCCCATACCATAAGAGAGCCTCCTCCATGCTTTACTGTATGAGAGGATTAAATCATTCACCAACACACAGAAGACTAAATCATTTATCGACTATTCTCCTAACATAAGCTCTTTTAGCTCCACAGATAACAGTAAAGGAACTTTCATCACTCCATAGCATTTTATTCCATTGTACGACAGTCCAGGTTTTGTGCAACTTTGCGAATACCCTTTTTTTCGCGATGCTATCAGGTCACAATAAAGGCTTCTTTGCAGTGATTCTCCCATTCAACCAAATCATATATATATGAATATATATATATATATATATATATATATATATATATATATATATATATATATATATATATATATATATATATATATATATATATATATATATATATATATATATATATATATATATATATATATATATATATATATATATCCTTATAGTGTAGTTGAAAGAGTTTTTCAATGTAAAAAAAGTCTCTTTCGACTACAATTTTAATTACCTCGTCTCTTAAGTTGTATTTGATTGTCGTCGAAATGTCAAAGCAATTAAATTAATGCGGAAGTACATTAAATTTTATCGTTTTTTAAAAATTTTTTAAAAAACCGCAATAATGACGACTAGAAAGTTTTTTTTAATTAGTGGTGTTTTTGTTTTTATTTTATTATTATTTTTAAAACATGCGTAAGTGTTGCTTCATCGACTATCTTATAGCCTGATGCTACAAGGGAGTGTTTCTACATCGACTATCTTATAGCCAGACTCGCAACGGAGTGCTGCTACATCGACTGACAAATAGCCTGACTCGCAAAGGAGTGCTGCTACATCGACTGACAAATAGCCTGACTCGCAAGGGAGTGCTGCTACAACGACTGACAAATAGCCTGACTCGTAAGGGAGTGCTGCTACATCGACTGAGGGTTTGGTTTGGGCAGGCAGTCTATCATTTTAAAAAAAAAAAATAATAAGTTTTTAAACTTTTTCTGGTCTGGTTTATTAACACGCTCTTTAAAACTACAGTTTATGGGAAACTCATTTTCACTACCATGCAAGAGTATATATATATATATATATATATATATATATATATATACATATATACATATATATATATATATATATATATATATATATATATATATATATATATATATATATATATATATATACATATATATATATATATACATATATATATACATATATATATATATATATATATATATATATATATATATACATATATATATATATATATATATAAATATATATATATATATATATATATATATATATATAAATATATATATATATATATATATATATATATATATATATATATATATATATATAAATATATATATATATATATATATATATATATATATATATATATATATATATATATATATATATATATATAAATATATATATATATATATATATATATATATATATATATATATATATATATATATATATATATATATATATATATATATATATATATATATATATATATATATACAGTAGCATTATTTTTTTGCCTGTCCGCAAACCAAAAGTTTGCAGACAGGCAAAAAAATAAGTAATTTTACTTAAATTTTAGCTCATATTTCACCAAAGCCAACATATTATATACCAATTAAAAGGTTTCCAAGTTAACAATTATGTTTTGAGCAAATAATGAATATTTAATTATCATTTTAAAATTGGTCAACAAAATGGCGATTTTTAATAAGTTCAAAAGTTTGTGGACAAACTAACACTTTTAACATTTTCACCACAAAATAGCTAATTTGTTGATTTTATAAACAAATACTTTGTGGAAATAATTTCAAAACTTTATATATAAGTGATTGAGATCATGGGATCTAAGAAATGTATTTCATCTCCAGTAAAAAAATTGATCTTGAGATCAGTTCAGAATGGAAACTCGTTTTGTAAAATAGCACAGCTTTATAGAGTTGGTAAGTCTGCTGTTGGACAAATTATGAAGAGATTTGAGCTTACTAGATCTACAAAGAATAAAAATTAATTAGGAAGGCCACGCAAAACAACACATTATCAGGATAAAAAGCTTGTAATACTAAGCAAAGAAAATCCCCGTATGACAGCTGTCGATTTAAACGTACAATTGAGACGTTTCTATGGAATGAATTGTAGTATTTCTACTATAAAACGTTGTTTACGTTATGCTAATTTGTTTGGAAGACGCCCAGCTAAAAAACCATTAGTTTCCTTGAAAAACCGTAACGTCCGAATGGAATTTGCATCAAAACATCTAAAGTGGAGTAGTCAAAAATGGTCAAAATTTCTTTTTAGTGACGAAAGCAAATTTATGCTGTTTGGATCCGATGGAATCAGGTATGTTCAACGCCCAGTAGGTACTAGGTACAATCCTAAATACCAACTGCCTACCGTAAAACATAGAGGAGGTAATGTAATAGTTTGGGGATGTTTTAGCCGAAATGGAGTTGGTCCTCTCCATAGAATTACCGAGAATATTAATCAAGAAAAGTACAATGATATATGTAAGACTATTATGTTACCATATGCAAAGGATAAAATGCCTCGAGGATGGATTTACCAAAAGTATAACGATCCCAAACATACAGCTAAATCGGTTTTAGAGTTTTTTAAAGACAGTAAAGTTAATGTTTTGAAGTGGCCATCCCAATCACCTGACTTAAATCCCATTGAACATCTATGGGAACATGTTGACCGTCAAATGAAAGGAATTAAGCCTACAAATTATGCTGATTTATTTAATAAAATCAAAGAATTATGGGACTTAATTCCCATTGACGTTTGCATTAATTTAGTTGACTCTATGCCTCATAGATGCCAAGCTATTCTTGATTGTAAAGGATATCCTACAAAACACTAATGTGATTTTGCTTTTGCAAAAATTTTGATCAAATATTGTTGAAATATTTTAACTATTATAAAAAATAATGCTTTGTCCGCAAATTTTTGAACTTATCAAAGACCGTTGATTTATATACCAATTTAAAAATATTATTTAGATAATAATTATTTGTTCAAAACCTAATTGTAAATTTGAAAACCAATTAATTGGTATATAATATGTTGGCTTTAGTAAAATATATGCTGAAATATAATTAAAATTAATTTTTTTTTTGCCTGTCCGCAAACTTTTGGACGCTACTGTATATATATATATATATATATATATATATATATATATATATATATATATATATATATATATATATATATATATATATATATATATATATATTAGGGTGCCCCTTAAAACAACTTTTTTGAGAAAAATCTGCTTCCACCCCCTAAATGTGTTATATCTAATACAAAAACAGTAGGTTTAAAATTTTTTAAAATAAAAAAAAATATTTTAAGAGGAGCCCTCAAGACCCTCGAATAATGAATTGGTCCCTAATATTTTCAAAAAAAAAGTTTTTCAAAAGTATGTCAACCTGGTACTCAAATGAAGCAAAATTATATAAAATTTCAAAAATAATATTCAACTAAAAAAAAAAAATTATTTTTGGTTTTATTACTTAAAAAATTACATTTTCTAACAAAAAAAAGAAAAAAAAAAATTAATGTTTTTTTATGATCATTTTAATAAATAAGTTGAAATTTTTTCACAATTAATATATTTTTCGAATTTTTATATAATTTCGCTTTATTTGAGTACCACGTTGACATATTTTTGAAAAACTTTTTTTTTGAAAATATTAGGGACCCTTTAAATATTTGAGGGTCTTGAGGGTCCCCTTAAAATATTTTTTATTCAAAAAAATTTTAAACCTAGTGTTTTTGTATTAGATAGAACACATTTAGGGGGTGGGAGCAGGTTTTTATCAAATAAGTTGTTATAAGGGCCACCCTAATATATATATATATATATATATATATATATATATATATATATATATATATATATATATATATATATATATATATATATATATATATATATATATTAGGGTAAAGTGATTTTCATAACAAAAAAAAGTCAAAAAATAAATTTTTTTGAGACACGAATCGATGTCTATTATTCATAAGAATAAAGTAAAAAAAAATGTTTTTTAATTTTGATGATATCTTGAGGTTCGTCTTTGGATTCTAAATTCTTGACTTGTCCTAATGTTTTTGATTTTTTTTTCTAAATCATATCAACCTTGGACTCAAAAAAAAAAAAAAAAAAAAATCTGCTTGTTTTATAATTAATTATTGCCCTTCGGCAATCACTAGCCATATTATATACATATATATATATATATATATATATATATATATATATATATATATATATATATATATATATATATATATATATATATATATATATATATATATATATATATATATATATATATATAAAATATGTATATACAAAAATAACAAATATAATATATATATACAAATGTATTGCGTACTAAAGTAAGCAATCTGACGTCATACTGAAATAGCCTGCTGCTGGGGGCTTCAGTACATACATCAACTGACAAATAGCCTGACTCGCAGTGGAGTGCTGCTACATCGACTGAGGGTTTGGGATGGGGAAGCAATCGTTTTATTCATCACTCTTCATTTTTTCTTCTTCTTTTTCGAAAAAAAATGGTATAGCTTAAGGTAAGCAGTAAAAGTGAGCAAATGCTTATCAAAACACGTTTTAGTAAGTGTGTATATATATATATATATATATATATATATATATATATATATATATATATATATATATATATATATATATATATACAGTGCTTGAAGAGGAGAAAAAAAGGAAACAGGTTAGTATTCGGTAAATTAGAAATACAATCCCGCCTAATAATTGTTATATATTGATTTATTTATATATATATATATATATATATATATATATATATATATATATATATATATATATATGTTATATATATATATATATATATATATATATATATATATATATATATATATATATATATATATATATATATATATATATATATATATATATATATATATATAAACGTACCTTTTATTAAGTTGTATAGCTTGGTTAGACTAAAAAGATCCTTAGCATTTTCGAGCTGCCATATTAGATTTGGCCATGAGTGAATTTGTCATAAAACCAAAACTAATATATTTTAATAATATTATATCTTATAATTTATGAAATTATAATTAACTACAGTATTTAAATTTTTTTTCTTTTTTTCATAAAATTTAAATGTAATTAAACATTTAGATTTTAATTTAACGATACAGTTTATCTATTAATTAAATCTAATCTATTATTTAAAAAATAGCACACTAACCATTAATGTAGTCCAGATCATAAGTGTACACTAACCATTAGTGTAGTCATATATATGAATATTATCTGGGTTAAACGAATTATCTGGACTAAAGTTTAAAGCTATAGGATAACCTATAGCTTTAAACTTGCAAACTGGAAAAAGTGCAAATTGGCATTAGTGCGCCAAACAGGCTAGCAAACATATGGAATAGGCATAAGTGCAAAATTTGATTATGTACAAAACAGTTACAAAAACTGGCAGAAGTGCGAACTGACATAAGTGCGTGTAATAAATTTGCAGTTTGGAATTATGCTAAATTTTGCAAATTTATTTGACACACTTATGCCAGTTCACATTTATGTTGTTTGCACTTTTGCGAGTTTTTGCAACTGCTTCACACTTATACCAGTTCCCACTTATGGCAATTGACACTTATGCAAATGTTTGTAAATCTATTTAGCACAATTATGCCAACTTACACATATGCCAGTTTGCACTTATAGCAGTTTGCACTTACGCCAATGTTTGGAATTTTTTTTGTGCAGTTATGCTCATTTGCACTAATGCAATTTGGCATTGTGCCAGTTTTTGTAGCTGCTTCGCACATGTGCTAGTTTGCGCGTATGAAATTCACGGTTATTCAGTCTTCCATTATGGTAAAACGGCTAACGTAGAGCCATGCATGGGATTTGTATTATGGATTGTAAGATGGGAGTAATATCATTATAAAATTAAACAGAGTATTTATAGGAATGCACTTTTAATTTACTAACCTCTTCATCATAGCTATCACAAGTTTTTGACAGTTCTTACCAGCAATATTTTGAACTCTTTGTTTCTAATAGAAAGAAATAATAGAAGTCTGACAATTCCTAATTAAGTAGTAAAAATTATATATTGTAAAGAAAATTTAAAAAAAAAGAAAAATCTGTCAAATCAGTATTTAGCAGTTTACAACTGCAGAGATACTATAGAGTTACTAGATGAAACAATGTCAAGTGCTGAGTCAAACTTATCAAATTCTATTATGCTGTTCATTTCAGTTACTACTTCTTCTTCACACTATTTTATATTTAGTTTTTTGCATCCTTGGGTTTTTATCTCATTTAAGAGAAGCAACACACAATATTGAAAGTCTAAACAAATATACACTAATTAAATTTTACATAGTCTTAACTAAACTGCGTAAATAAATAAATTTAAAATACATAAATTTAACAATTTAACAACTTTACTGGTCTAACCCTAAATCAGAGAAAAACTAATAGACAGTATAATACCTAAAAATGGCAATGCTATATTATTAGCGTTTTTCTCAGATTTCAGGTTAGACAAGAAAGATTGTTCCATAGATTTATAGTTTTGAAATAATGTAATAATAATATTGAAATAATGGATTTCATGAAGGTGATTATTTAAAGTTAAAATTGGAACCTCATCATTTTAATGATGTTTTTTAATATTGACAGTCATGTTAGCATTTTACAACAAACATTACAATATTATTTTTAACTAAAGACTTACTTGCTTGAGATAATGGAAATCCAAAACGTTTATCCTTTAAACAACCTTCATCATCTTTTTAAAGATGATGAAGGTTGATGTGTCTTAAAATGAATCTCTTGGTCATCACAATCAATATCATCTTTGTTTATTATTTTTTGACCTACACAACACAAACATAGAGACCATTTGAATTTTATCTAACAACTTGTCTTCTCATGTAGCAATTTTACACTTAAAAAGTTTTTACAAATTACTTAACAGAATAATAACTTTATAAGTAAAATAAGGTATATAGTATGGTATATACTATTATAGGTTTCATACTGCTAAAGTTTAGCAGTATGAAACCTATAATAATATTAAAATTTTTATTCTTTAATGATATTCTGGTGTTATTACCAAATGTTTAGCCTAAACATTTGGTAATAACACCAGAATATCATTAAAGAATAAAAATTTTAAAATGACATTTTGAAGTAAGTCACTCCCTTTCTTATAACAAATCATCATATTTTTTCCTTTCAGCCTTTTTAACTATAGCAATTCCTTTATAAAAACCACTGATATTATTATTTTTAATTTTTAGAGTTAAAGAAGAAAAACTCTGAGAATGTTGTTCCCTTATAATCCAAATAAATTTTTTTGCGTTAAAAGCAGTTGATAATTAAGTAGAATTAAAAACTTAATCTAGTTTTTTTAAGCATTCAAGTTTACTCAACAATTAAGTTATTTAATAGAGTAAAATAATCTAGCTAACCACACCATTAAAATTTTCTTAATCATTTCTACTTGATTGTAGAAATACAAACACAACCTAGTTTCAACGAAAGCATACAACTTTAAACTAAAAATACTCCAATATATTTTCAAATTTAATTTTACAAGAAAACAATACAAACACTTGGTTGATTTGAATATATACTAATTTATATAATTTTTACTTAAATAAATCAATTCGCCTAATCAAAGGTCACGCCATTATTTGCGTAAACATACTCTTTAAAATATTGCTGTAAAAATACAGCAATTAAAATACTCTTTAAAATATTATGTCTGCGCAGATCTGCGCAGATGCATTTGCCGAACCCTATATATATATATATATATATATATATATATATATATATATATATATATATATATATATATATATATATATATATATATATATATATATATATATATATATATATATATATATATATATATATATATATATATATATACATATATCGCAACTTTGTATATATATATATATATATATATATATATATATATATATATATATATATATATATATATATATATATATATATATATATCTTATATAGTTTTTGTTTATAAAATTTCTAGTTTCTTTTAATTCACCAAATTATTGAAAAGAGAGACTTCATGCAATATTACCTCTTTAAAAACATTTTGAATTTTTTTGAAAATTTTTGTTTTCAAAATGGTTGTAAAATTAACTTTAACCAATTTATTTTATTTAATCAAAAAGATAAGTGGCGTGATTTTTCTAACTAAACCCACTTCCACGGATTTCTCTAATATGACCGTTAGGTTTTGGGCTCCTAAAACAAAATTAAAAATAAAATAAAATAAAAAAATATGCGCAGCATATTATCTAAATGATAGCAAAACCGTTTAGCGTTAAGGCCAAAAATGTCTATAAAAAAGTAATTGTTCATTAATAAAAGAATAATTTAAATTATTTCGCTGTATTCAAATAGTAGCGACATAGTCCCGCTACCAAATTAAAACTACTTTGCTAAGTATTTTTTCAAAAAATCAGTTTATAATAAAAGTTACTCGGATTTTTTCAATTATTTAAGTTGCTTAATTTTATTTAAAAAATAATGTTTTAACTGTTTATTCTCTGGCAGAGAAATAAAAAGATAGAAGCTCAAAACTTTATAAATTTTTTTTTCTTGATGCTGTTTATTTTTACATCAAATGATTTTTTTAATCGCTGAATCAAAGAAGTATCCTGCATAATTAGATTAGATCGTCTCGCAAAACAAGACTATTTTAAGTCCATTTCTGAGAAAAAGGCATTTAAATTTTTTAAATTATAAATGCGTTTGATGTTCTTAGTTAAACTAAATTGCTTTTAAATTACTTATAGAAAATGTTATTATTTTTCATAATATAACAAATAAAAAATTAAAAATTTAAGTTTATGAGAAGCAACAACGCGAATGGACTTAAGATAATCTTAAAACTATATAAAATATGACAAAATTCTACAAATTAAAATGCCGCTGCAAAACACGACTATCTTAAGTCCGTTTTTCAAAAAGACATTTAAAGTTTTAAATTTAATCACTCCGTTTGATTTTTTCAATAAAAAACTTTTTTAGTTATTTATTATATGTGTTAAGTATTTAAAATTTTTTTTCCTAAAAATGGATTTAGGATAATTTTGCCTTGCGGCGACGAGATTAAAAAAAACATGATGATATATTAAAGTAGTAAAAAACACTTTATCAGTTGAAATACAACAGAAAAATACAATTTACAAATTAAATTGACTAATGATGTGGTAAATGCCTAGACATTGAAAAATTTATTTTATTTAAGTGCTTTCTTGATATTATTTTTCAGTGTTTTGTTTATTAATTAATTTTGTTATTTGTTGTTAAGTATAAATAATGTTTAGGTCAATCACAACCTCGTATTGCTCGAGCATGTGAAGGCAGCGATTTAAAAATTGTTTGCAACGGACAAGACACTATTGAAGTGGTTAATGCAAACTACGGTAGAACATTGTCTGGTCTTTGCCCTGGTGCCTATGACACAAACATAAAATGTCACAACCGAAAAAAGTCACTTGAAGTTGTTCTTAAAAGTTGTTCAGACAAATCTTCAGGTGTCATTCAAGCATCCAATGGAGTGTTTGGTGATCCATGCGTCGGAACATACAAATACCTCGAAGTACACTATCATTGTAAGTTTTTTGATTTTTTTAAATTAAAAATAAATTACACAAAAATACACTCAAATATTATTATACAAGATCATTACAAATAAAATAATTTATACACAACCCAGTAAGCAAAGGACGTTTTTAAAACGTTTTTATTCCGTTCAATTTACGGTCGGACGTTGAAAGAACCAATAAAATCGTTTTAAAAACGTTTTTTTGCAAACGTTTATTTTAATGTTAATTTAAACATTTTTATAGCGTTTTTTAAACGTTTTATTTTTTTATTAACTTACGAAATTTCTCAGTTAATTTATGAACGTTTTTAAAACGTTTTTTTAACGTGATAAAAAAACTTTTTTTAAACGTACAGCACGTCTGCGCATATCTGCGCAGACGTCGGCGCCGACGTCTGCGAAGACAGTTTAAAGGATACGAAAAATTTAAATTATGATAAAAAAATTACTTCAGACATTTGATTCAGATAATTTAATTATCTAAATTAAATTGCGTGAAAATAATTATTTTCTTAAATTTAATTTTAGACAATATTTAATAAAATAATTTCAGACATTTTGAAAAACTTGTAAAAAGTAGGTATTATCTACTTTTAGGTATTATCTACTTTTTACGAATTTTTCATTACTTGTCTGTTTCTTTTTTGTTCGAGCTACATATAATCAATCGATATAAACTTTTTAAAGTGTTTCTTACTATAATTTAAAGTGATTTAAAATAAAGAACTCGCGTATTTTTGTCATAACAAATGTTTAAAATGGAAAACATCAAAATTTCGAATTATTTGACAAATCTTGATCGAGGGAAGCGTTCTGGCACTTGTTTAGCATGTAACAAAACTGTTCAATGGTCGAAGGAACGCCTTGCAGCGCATAAAAGATCAACATGTCAAAACGCCAGTGTCGAGGAAAAAAGGTTGTTTTCTAAGCGTAATTATGAATTGTCACATCTGATCAATGACTCTGAGCAACTTCCATCTACGTCTGATTCACCGATACAGCGTGTACATCCACCGATTAATGAAGAGCTCAAAAATGATATCGACACGAAGCTTGCAAATTTCTTTTACCGTACGGGTATATCATTTCGTTTAGTGGAATCGGAGGTCAATAAAGATTTTGTGAAGTCGCTCAATCCATCGTACGCATCTGTCATCCCGAAAGCTAAAGCCTTATCAGGATCTCTGCTCGACAAACAATCCACAAAATGTTCTATTTATGTAAATGAAATTTTGAATTCTAAAACAAACTTAACACTGATGTCTGACGGCTGGACGAACATAAGGGGCGATCACATAGTGACTTTTTGTATTAAAGCGCCCGAGGAGAAGCCTTTTTTTATACCTCGATAAATACATCCGGAATCATTCAAAATTCATCTGCAGTTGCTGCAGCAATCTTACAAGTTATTGAGAAGATTGGCTCACAAAAGTTTACAAGTTTCATAAGCGACAACGCTCCTGTAATGAAATCAGCGTGAAGGATCATCGAGGAGAAATATCCACACATCTCGGCTAGCGGATGCGGAGCTCATGGAGTCAACTTGCTTGTGAAGGACATAGTTTCTACAATTGAGGTCTCAAAAACAGTCAAAGATGCAGAGAAAATCATCAAAAATGTGAAAAATTATCACATCGTAAAAGCAAAGTTTGATGAAAGATGAATTGCAGCAAATATTTCTCTTTTATTGTCCATGCCTGTATCTACACGATGGTTTAGTTATTATAAATCAAGGAGCAGTCTCCAGCTATCAAAATACGTTCTAATTAAGTTGGTAGACGAAGAAAGTCTATTACTGAAGGAAATTCAACCAAAGAATACATCTGCTGCTGTTATGGCGTTGATAAAATCTAACCCATTTTGGAAATGTCTCTCTAAGCTTGTCAAAAGCATTGAATTTCCTTTCAATGTGATCGGAAAGCTAGAAAGTGATACAGCACCATTGTCTCTCGTGTATGATTACTTTGGTCAAATGTACCATTCATATATGGACGATAAAGACATACAACAAAAAGTACAATCTCGCCTCGATTTTCTCCTTACACCATGTATTGGAATTGCTTTCATATTAACGCCCAAAAATGCCGCAGAAGGTTTATATTTGAAAGAAGATAAAACCGATTTTATCACTGCTACAGTTGAATTCGCCAAAAAGATCAAACCTGAAATTGCTGCCACTGCTGAGGATGAATTGATTGCTTATATAGGAGAAACTTCTGTGCTGCCTGAGAGAAGAAAGGAAACAATATTCAAGATGAACTCGCGAAATTGTTGGAACATTATCGGTCGCGATAAATATCCTGCTCTTTATGAAATTGCTAAGCCTATTAACGAAATGATCTGCTCATAGGCTACAGCAGAAAGAGCTTGGTCGACCTTTCGATTTATT